TTTGCGAAACTCTGACCAATGCAGCTAGCATTTGTGAGTGTGAGAGTGTAGTTTCTTGGTTGCCAATTTTTTTTGTATTTTCTTTTTTCCTGTTTGAAATTTTTTTGTTTGCTTTTGTTTGGAGCACTCTGCCGACGTCGCTGCCGGCGTTGCCGCTGACGTTGCCGTTGCCGCCTTGTTGTCGTTGTTGCCGCACCGCAGTCGCCAGTTGGTCCGTTCATTCGGCTGTATCGTTTGCTCCTCGTCGCTTGTGTGTGAGTGCAAAAAAGTGCGCTGAATATCGCAAAAAAAAAAAACTCGCGAAATTCACAAAAAAAAAAATCTAAAATATTATATTTCCAAAAAAAAAAAACTGGAAAAATATTCGAATTCCATAAATCGGTTGCAAATTCCGCCTATCTATTTTTTTTACTGTGCTGAAAAAGTTTTCAAAGAAATTCATTGCGAAATTTTTAGTGCGATCATCTATAAAGAAACTCTCTACCCCTCTGTTTCTCCTCTTTCTACGTTTCTATCTTTCGCACTAAAAAAAAAATTATATTTAAAAATGTTTACTAATTTTTTTGTGAAATTTAGAAGATTTTATAACCCATTTTGTGATTAATAGAATTTCTTTCATAGAATTGTGTAATTTGACAGTTTTCTGTTAATTCGAATTGTTGCTTAGCGGAACATAATTCTTATCTGCCTTAATTTACAGATTAAATTAGAGATTCAAAGATATATTTAAAACAAAAATTATATATGTTACCCGTTATTATGATTTAAATAGTTTTGTACATAAATTATTGGATTGCAAACTTCCGTTTTTTTTGCTTATAATTTTGTTAATTTTAATATTGAATATTTGTCTGATTGAAATTCATTTTTAATTGCCTTTGTGATTGGGATTTTGTAGGAATGTATTAGAAATCACAAATGCCTTTTTTAAAATAGAAATTTTGTTGAATTTATAAGTTTAATTTAGACTAAATGAAATAAATATTATAATAAAGAATAAAATGGGACGAAAAGTCCCATGCCATTCTGGCATGTTCTTTGAACTTTAAAATACTTATCAAAAATATTAAAACTATTGCAAGAATTTGAAAAAGCTTTCCTATTTTAGACTTAGAATTCATTAGGCATACGTAGAATAAATTTTCGAAAAATATTAAAAAAAAAACGTAGTTCCGATTCCTCAAAAACTTACAAATCTAAGAATGAAAAAGTTGCCTTTGACAAATCTTCAAAATTCGTTAGCTATTTCTTTTTAAATCTTAAAAAATCCTTAAAAAACCCACAAATAGTATTTTCATTTTTTTTAAACAAGTCTTACAAAAATTAGGAAGCATTTTCCATTAGATATTTTATTTAAAAAATCCCCAAACCTTAGAAAATAAATCCTTAATAATTAGAAAGCAAAATCCTGGAAAATGCGTTTTCCGAACTTGCCAAAATCGAAAATTGATCTTGAAAAATATAGTTCGTGGCTAAAGACTACTTTCCACTCAAATTCTTGGCCAGAAGTTCTGTTCTTTTTGGGGGGCTCTCCTTGCCGACTCTAGCACTCGCACTAGCTCTCTCTTCCTCGGTCTCTTCGCTGTTTGCCAAAAAAGTTTGCTTCTCCCGAAGGCCAAAAGAGAGAGATTTTTGCGAATTGCAAGAGCCAACGCTGCCCGCAGTCGACGTTGTCGTTGGCAGCGCAGCTCGCACACATGCAATGCGTTTTTTTTTTTCATCATTTTCATTTTCGCTCTTTTCGGCGAAGTTTTCACTCGCGAATTTGAGTGAAGTTGCGACGGCTTCTTCAGGCTGTATTTTTTTTCTTCTTTGCTCTGTGTGTTGCGTTCTTTTTTTGCATTCGAGAAAGTGTGTGTGTGTGTGTGTGTTGCTGCTGCCTTTGCTGCGCTGCTGCCGTTGCTGCTGCGCTGCTGCTGCTGTTGCTGTTGTCGTCATCGGCGGTCCGGCAACGTAAACGAAACGTATCGAAAACGTATTGAATCATAACAGATCCGCACGTTGTCGCGCACGTACGCAGTCCGCGGAAGAAAAGCTACAGCTCTCTCTCTGTCTCGGCTAAACAAACACAAAACACACACTAAATATATAACAACACCAAACACTAACTGCAACTGCAACTGCAACACAACAACAACAGCAACAACAACCTGCAATCTGCAACACCGACAACAAACGGCAAACAGCAGCAACACAACAAATTCAACACCCAAAATCACATATTAAATCAAATTCATCATCCATCGACAAAAAAAAAATCCCTCTATTTCCTGTGTCGAAAGTAATTTCAAAAATTTCCTATTCTAAAAAATATCCCTTATAAATATATCCCTATAAAAAAATCCAAAAATCGCGCCGCGCAAATATCTTCAAATTTTTTTCTAGTGTTTCTATATCTTATTTTTTTTTGGAAAGATAAAAAATATCACAAGTGCCAAACAGCAGAAAGAATTTTTGATTTTAATAAATATGCTGTTTTTGTAAAAAGTGTTTTTGTTAAAGTGTTAAAAATAAAACCGCTAAAGAGGACCATATTTATTTTAAAATTCTGTTGAATAAGGAAAGAAAAGGATTTTTATAAAGTTTATATAGTGTTTTTTTAGAATCACTTAAGTGCTCAAAAAGGACATAATTGTTTCAAGAATTTTATTATTTAAAACATATTATATTTTTAAGAAGGATATTCTGTGTTGTTTAAAGATCACTTAAAAGTTCTAAATTCTGTGTAAAAAAAAATTACAAAAACAAAGGATAATTTTGATTAGGCTTTTACTTAGAAGTTTATAATTTCCAAAACTTCTTTGAAAAGTTATAGTTTTATTTAAACTTTGCTTTGGGATTTTTGTGTTTTTAGAGTTTACGAAAAAGTGTTGTAAATGTTTTAAAAATAGTGTTTAAAAAATATGAAAAAATATTATGTGTTTTAAAATGTCTTGTTTATATACAGTTGTGTTTTTAAGTTTTTAAAGAATATTTTCCAACAAAAAAGATGTTACTTAAAAGGGTTTATTATTATGTATTTCAAAATTATATTTTGAGTTTTACTATTTTGGTTTAAAATATTGTACTTTATTTTAAAAGGAGCGAAAACGCTTACAAATTGATCAGTGAATTTCTAATCTTTTTCATAAAAGTCATAAAAGTGTTTTTAAATGATCACATATAATATTTTGTAAATTTTGTTCTTAAAAAGAATCACTTAAAAAAGTTTTTGAATGTATTGTTTTATTTAAAACATTTGATTTACCGGCAAAATTTAACTAAACTAAATGCAGCTTCTAAGCTGATTAAAAATTTGCCGTCGGTATATTGAGAAGCTTTGGCCAAAATGTTTGTAAGCTGAATTTCAGCGCATATTGGAAATGCAAGTTTTTTGAGTTTTTGTACATTTTAGAAGATTTAAAAAGATATAATTTGTGATGTAATATTATATGATTGATATGTGTTAATATTTTGATATTTTCCAGTAACGTTTTTTATATTTTATGGCATATGTTATTGTATACTTTATTAAACATATTTTTTTGAAAATGTTAAACTGACTTGAATTGTATTAAATGTATCAATTTTATAACTAATAACACTTGAAAATTAATAAAGTTAGAAAAAGTCTTTTTAAAAGAATTTGTCCATATAAAAAATAACACAAAAAGAAGTTTTATGACTGAATTTTGAATTTATATTTATATCAGAACCTAATTTGACTAAAATTAGGTTTTAAAATATTATTAAAACGGGAAACAAAATGATCTTTAAAAATAATTTGAAAAACACAAAAAAAAAACCAAAATAAGAGTTATTAACTTAGGATTATTTTTTGTAATTTATAAGAATTCTTAATGCATTTTTTTTGTATTTCCGTAAGAAAAACTTTTCCCTAAACATATGGCAAATGTCTCAGTGTGAGTGTGTGTGTTTTTCTGAATGATATGTTGCATTCGCTTAGATTACGCATACGCCGCGTTGTCCAACGCAAAGAGAGCCAGTTAAAGTGAAAAACTAGAAGAGCGAGAGAGAGCACATTGTGCAGTTTTTAGCGATTGAGTGAAAGAGCAGACAACGAGTGACTTGAGCGCTGCATTTTTTGGCTCAGTTTAGCTGCGTTTTTTGCTACGCTGCTCTTTTGCGAAGCGCGTGCGGCGCTCTTACACACACACACCACAATGCACAGGGCACCCACATACAGACGAACACACATAGACAAATTGGGGAATCACTCGGCAAAACGAAGCATCGCTGTCGCAGCGCTGCCGCTGCGCGGCCAACGTCAATGCTCTTTGGGTGTTTGGATGTGTTTCTGTTGTTGTATTTGGGCTTTTGGCCAGGCTTTTTGGTTTCTGGCTCTGTCGGCTTTGGACTTTCGCAGAGATTTCACACGCGATGCGATTGCAGTTCTTGCAGACACTTTCATACGTTCGTTCGTTCGTTCGTTCGTGTTTATTTTCGTTAGCCCTAAAACTTAGCCAAAATCGAACTTAAAAAATAAATAACTTGATAAATATTTAAATATTTTCAAAGGACACATTTGAAGAAAAATATTTAGAATTTATTTATTTCCGAAAGCTAAATTTCGCGCGTGTTTCAAAAAAAGCAATAGGTTTCCCTTCATTCATTTAGTTTTCCTTTCCTTTCTTTTTTTTGGATTTTTTTTTCAAGTGCTCTTCATGTCGGTTTCTAATACAAGTTTCTTCTTTATAATATATATATAATAATATGTATTATTCCCCAGGCATAAACTCAAAACACAACAAAAATGTTTTATAAATATATTATTATAAAATAAAAATCACAAAAAATAGAGCAAAAAATATGAAATAACAGCGTAAAGTTTTTTAAACATAAAAAAAAAGAAAGAAAAGTCAACACAGCAAGAAAAATCCTTAAGCGTAATTTTTTTGTATTTCAACAATGCAACAACCACAACAACTACAACATCTAAAACAGAGGCAACAACTACAACAACAGCAGCAGCAGCAGCAACAACAACAAGAGAAACACCAGCAGCAGCAACAGCAAAAACACCAACAACCAAATGAAACAGCAACAACAACTCAAGGCGGCTTTCCACGTGTGTGTGTGTGAACAACAACAACAACAAGCGAAAAACTTTAGAAAAACTTACAACAACTTTTTGGACTTGGAGCATTTTTCGATCACAAAAGCCTAAAAATTATTTTGTGTTTCCCCCCCATTTTCGTCGTCTTAAAAAATCATTTAACAAATATATACAAAAAACAAAAGCAAACCACAAAAACCAACAACAACAACTAAAACCATGCTCTAAGGTTGTGTTAAAAGGAAACTTCTCCTATTTTGCAACTTCATTTTCTGATTTTCCAAACAAAATTACAACAATTTTTTCCAAGTGAAAATTTTGTGCGAACCGCAACAGTAACAAAAAACAAAACAAAAAAAAATCAAGTGGAAATAAACAAAATTTCAATTTTAATTCAATGCAAACAGCAAGTGCAACATCATCAACAACAACAACAAATTCACCCAAAACAACAACAAGAACAGCGGCAACAACAACCAAACCAACAACAGCGAGAACAACGTTTTGAAACTGCGGTGTTTGGCGTTTATGGTGAGTTTTTCTTTTTTTTTTTGGTGTCTCAAATGATTTTCTAAATCATTTCAGTTCGTTATTAATTTATCAAGTGTTTTGCGTGGGTCTTAAAAACAATAACAACAAAAAAAAAAGAACGAACATAAGTGCTACTTGATAAATAAAAGTGTTAAATTGGTTTATTTTCTTTTTTCGCGCTGCGGATTTAAGCCATAAATGGTTTTTGGCCAAAAGTGTGAAGTGAGAGGAAAGGAAAGTGTTAGGCAAAAACTTGTTTGCCTTTTATTATTTTTGGGCTTGCACTTGGAAGCGTTTGGAAGAATTTAAGCTTTAAGTAGAAGTAGGATAAGATTTAATGTAGTATAACAGAAAAATGAATATTATAGAACAATGCAATAAATATAATAGGATAAGGTAATAAATGTTATAGAATAAGGTAATAAATATAATAGAATAAGGTAAATATAATATAATAAGGTAAATATAATAGAATAAGGTATTATAGTTTATAAGATTTATTTTAGAAAATGTGATTATGCAAATGCTAAACATTCTAGAAGAATACTTTTTGTGAAATGTCTATAAGACTTAATACAGCTTGATTTGTTGTTGAAAATTCTTGATGTAAAATTAAGTTTTTAAAGTAAATGAAGTCAAACTAATCTAGAACTAATATGTGTATTATTTTGTATAACTTCTATATAAGTAAAACTGTCACTAAAAGTATTTTAGTTCTAATTTTTATAAATAATCATAGTTAACGGTTAATTCTGGACAAGTTCCTTAAGCTTAACTATAAAAGGCATTTAAAAATGTAGTTTCATAAGTTTTTATACTAAGCATAAGCAATTTATTCGGTTAGTTTGAACTTAGCTTCCTATTTTAATACAAGTTTTTGTTGATAGAAATTCTTTGAATCCTGAAAAAGCACAGATATAGAAAATCCCCACATTAATATCTGCCATCCGCAAAACAGTTTTCAATTTTTTTGTGGCCCTTTTTAGTTGCTCTTTTTTTTTTTTATCAACCTCTCGTTTGGCGACGACTGTAGCACTTCCCGTTTGAACCGGATGCGCTTTTAGAGAAATTTGCTGAATGTTATCAAATATGTAAAATGGAAATGCATTTTTCTGGGCCACAAAAGCTAGCAAAAAAAAAAACACAAAAGAAAAGTGCAAAAATCGACAAAAGAAAAAGTCAAGAATAAGCCAATCAATAAATTGGCAAAAAAAAAAAGAAACGAAAAGAAAAGCGTTAACTAAATGCTGGGTCAGTTTTAGAAGTCGCCAGCAAATAGAACCAAGAAGTTGAAAGTTTCTGGAACTTCCGGCGCCATTACAGGCGCCATCTCTTTGTCATATTTTTCGTTTTAGCTTAGTTCATCAAATTAAATTTTTGATAGAATTTGTTAAAGGAAATTGATATACTGATTTACTTTAAGGTAAAATTCTATAATTCTATTCTATAGAATTATACAAAATACTTTAACATTCATGGTTTTTCTTTAAAAAATCACTCTTTGTATTATATTTTTAATAAATAATACCCAACAAGACCTGAACATGACGAAACGCACTGTCTAGCTTCTTGGCTTATCCTCATTCCCATCGCTGTCTCTCTCGACTTTATTGCAATTATAAATATTTATAAGAAAGTGGTGGGTCCATAAGAATACTATTCCCATTGCACTTGGCGGGGGGCTTTCCAGAGCCGTTCTTAATGTCTTTTATGATTTTGGAATAATTTCAATATATATATATATATATATATTTTTTTTATATATGAACGAGCAGACGCAACAAAGTTTAAAAATATTCTAAAATTGTTTCGTTTCCTTTTTGGTTTCGTTTAATTTTAGTTACATTTTCGTTAGCTTAGCGCAAAAAGTTAATTAAAATTCGCGTAATTGCATAGCCTTTTGTGTGTGGATTTTGTTTCTGTTTCTGTTTTTTTATATTTTTTAAATTTTTTTCTTTTTGTTACGTTCATGTGCAACAGTTTTCGCTTGTGTGTTCTCTTTTTTTTTCTAATTATTTCCCGCAAGTGTGAGTGAGTGGCTGTGAGTGTGAGTGCAACTAATGAGCAACTGCCGGTCGGCTTGCCAGCGGCTGAAATTATTAACTCATTATGGGGTCTCGGGTGTTTTAAGTGCCTCAAGTCAGTCTGTTTTGTTTTTTTTTTCGTTCGTATTTCGTACTTTTTTTTTCGTATTTTTTAATGGCTTGCGTGCGTTTTTTTTTTTGGCTTGTGCATCTCTTTTTTTTTTTTTATAATTTTTTGCTGCAGTTGTGGCGGCAATTGAATAAGGTGCAACATTGTCGGTGGCAGTCGGATTCTTCTCTGTCGTCTCACTCGTATAAATAAGCAGAATTAATTGAAATGGGCAAAGAGGAAAAGGGTTACTTTGAGACCAAAATGCTTAAGTGCTGGTAATTGTTTAGTAGGTTGAGCAACCATTGATTAATGGCGGTTAATGTGCTGAAAAATTGCAAATGTGCTACACAGTTTCACCTGTTGTATTTAAATGTTAAACACGTTCTTAAATGAAACGTAGCAACAAAACAAAAAATTAACAGTTTTTCATTTGAAATAATTTAGTATTGAGTGTATGAAACATGGCATTAAAAACTTAAATAAGTTATGAACTATATCCATGACTTATAAATGGTTTTTATATTGATATTTATTATTATTATAAGTGTAAATTTTAGTACCAAAGAACCTTTCAATTACTCTACTTAAACCCTGTTAAACCCTTTTGGGAAATTATTAAAAATAATACCCAATGACACTTTTTTGTTAGTGCCATGTAAGCGTCATAAAAATATTCGATATTCTATACCCTAGCCTAGCCATCGTATTCAGCCATTTCCCCCAAACCGATTTTTGGCGCTTGGCTTGGCTCAGTCGTCTAGACAAATCAATATAATCCAGACGGCAAATGGCCAATATAAAAAGAACTACATATAACAAAAATATTACGCATACGCCCCGCTGGTTTTGCACTCTGTCTCTCAGTCTCTCGCTGTGGAAAAAAGTGCAGCAAATTAAACAAAATTTTTAGATTTCCTCAACCAGTTTTTTTTTTTTTTGGCTATTTTCCTTTTGTTTTGTTTGTTTATTTCGTAGTAGAGCCTTCTTTTTATGTCTGTCTGGAAAATGTAAATAAATATATATATATATAGGAATATATATATATATAAACGTCTATATTTGCATTTGACAAAATAAGTGCATGGGCGCAAGAACGAGGCAGCGAAAAGGAAAATAAAAAAGAAAGAAATTCCAGGACACGGGAGCAGACAGAGAGGGATTTATAAATTTGGGAAAGAGATGGATATATATATATATATATATATAGGGACAGAGAAAGTAAAAACAACAAGAAGCAACTTGCGGTTGCAAAAAGGAGGGGGAGTTAGGGGGTTTATTTCGGGGGTTGGAAAACAGAAGGTTAGAGGGATCTGAGAAACGGGATGTGAGAATGGGGAAAATGTAATTTAGCGGCGCTTTCGTTTTTCGTTTCTTTTCGTTTTCGCATTTCGCCGAAACTCGCACTTCAATTAATCAGACGCTGCAGTCGCCGTCGACGTCACTGTTGTTGTTTTTGTTGTTGTTGTTGTTGCCACCCCCTCTTCTCTTACCCTCGCCCTCTGCCAAATTCACCCCCCTCTTAACCCTTGTCCGCCCAAGTGCAAGCGCCGTCCTGCTTCTGGACTTTTTCCCTTTTGTATATGTGAGTGTGAGTTTGTGTGTTTTTGTGCAAGGACCTCTCGATGCACACTCACGGCTAAATATATATATATATATATATATAAAGATATGTACGAAACATTTATATATATAAAAGGGGTTCAAATTTTCAGCTTCTTCTTCTATCCCTGTGTCGGCCCTGTGTTTGTTTTTCTTTTATTTTATTTTTGGTAGCCTGATGCAGCTTTTGTTGGTTTCTTTGCTTCTCCTGAGTTTCTTTCTTTTTCATTTTTTTTTGTGTACTTTTTTTTTTTTTTTTGGCAATTTAGCCTCTAAGCTAGCTGCGTGAGTGTGTGTGTGTGTGGTACAGTTGCGTTTTCTATATGATTAAGGGTATGCATGTCTGGCCCTGGATTTTTATATAGCACACTTAAATGGTAACGAACAGGCAAGGATTTCGGGTGATTAATCGTCATTTCGACACGAAAGAAGCAGTTTTAAATTAGAAAAAAAAAAAACTATAAATAACATATATCAAATGGGTTAAATGGTACAGGAAATGAAAAGCTTATTATTTGAAACTTAATAAGCAGGAGTAGAAGGACATGTAGTTTCCTAAGCTCATTAGATTAAGCAATTATATTTTTTTTATTGCTTTTTCCCTATGAAAAAATGTTTTTGAAAAATAGCAAAATAAAGTATTAAACTCCCTCGCTTTTCAAGTCCCATTTTAGGAGTTGCCAAGTGCCAAATGTATGTAGGAAAAACTTGCATCTATCTTCTCTGTGGTTAACCCTCTATTGGGCCCTCTTTTTCGCCTCACTTAACTCTACTTTTAAGCCACCTCGATCCTTGTCTCTGCAGTTGGCTACCGGTTTTCCATTTCCCTCCGCACCCGCCAAACAGATCAATTATGATATAATTATCTTTTGCACTATTGACAGGTCTGCAAAAAAGAAAAAAAAAAAAGAGGGGGTCCCATTCAGTCCGTCGTCTCTGTCTCACCGTGTGCGTTCCGTCTCTTTCTGCGTGGATAAAGTAAAGTGAAATGCGCGCATGCGCACAAGTGTTGCTTGTCATTATGTTAATTGCATTTAAGCGCCAACAACTCTCAAGGCTCCAAAAGAGGAAACGAACTCGTATATCTCTTTATACGTATATATATATATATATACAGATATATGTTTGTATGATGTGAATGAAGAATATGGAGAATATGGATAGAGGGGGATTTGTTTCTGGCGAGAAGCTTTTATTATATTAACTTGCTGCTGCATATAATTGATGATGATTAAATCAATGCTACCGCAATGCGCCAGCATCGT